TATTTGGTGAAGTAATGTCATATTAAAGAAATTTCTATTTATTTTAATATTTATTTATTTCTTTATTAATTAAATTAAATATTACTATAGGAAAATCTATATCAAATAAATATTAAAATAATTATTTCTTGCTGATATTAGTTGTTATTTATCTTCTATTTATATTTAAAGTTTTTTAACTTGCAAGACATTTATTTTTAATATTAATTTAAATAAAAATAAGATAAGTTAGTATATTATAGCTCTTAATTCTGTTAATATAAGTAAAATTCATTTACTATAATTAAAATTTGCTTTCTTTTACAAATTTTTAAGTTTTACTTGAAAATTCTTCATAAAAAAAGCACTCAATAAGATAGCTAGATTAAGATATAAATATATTACATAGTAAATGAAGAATATGTACATTATACATATCTTCACAATATATTACCAGAAATTTAATGTCAATCATTCAACAAATCAAAGTTTTTATTATTGAATAAAAAATTATCATATATATTAAATATACAATAAATTAAATAAAAATAAAATGAGAAATATACAGTTATATTAATTCAAATTTAAGAACCTACAGATTAATATAATATGCTTTTGTTATTAGCTTCAATAATTTTGTTTACATATCTAGATAGACTCAAAATTAACTCATGTAAAGTTTCTAAATTAATACTTATCCATTCCTCTTGTAATATATGAATTAATTCTTGCTTTGATATAGGTAATGATCTTCTTTTTCAAATCTGGCAGTCCAAAATATCTCACAAATATTCAATTGGATTGAGATCAGGACTTTGACCAATCCAATCCAAAAGTTAAATGCTATATATTGACATTTATCAAGTTATATATATTGAGATATGATATGACATACTATCTTGTTAATATATAGTATATAGATATTGGTAGGTCCAGAATATAAAATAATTAGTGAGAATATTAACATAAATATTTGAATTTATGATTTCTTCTATTGGTACCAAAGAACTAACTCCATCCCAACTGAAATATCCCAAAATATTACTGATCCTTTATCAAATTTAATAGTAGATTTAATGCATTCTTGATGATAAGCTTTATCAGGTTTCCACCATACTCTTATCTAGTCATCTGATTCAAAAAGTGTGAATTTGGACTTATCACTTATCAGATCAGATTATATTTTTCTATTGTGCTTCCTAGTCATATTTCTTCCAGTACTAATTTAATTGACAAAGTTCTTGATTTGGTGTCAAAAGAGATTTTTTTCTTGGAGCATAGCTTCCAAATCCTATTTCATCCATGTATTTGCAGATGGTATTAGCATGGTAAGTAGTATTGAGTTTGTCATTTAGTTTATTTGTGATTTCACCAAGTGGAGAAAACTGATTTTTTAGAATATCTTGTTTTAATATATGCTTTTTATTATTGATCAGAGTTTTTGGCCAACCAGAATATTTTTCAGGATGCAGGGAATTGGTTTCTTTATATCATTTGATGGTATCATATACTGTTGTTTGAGGAATATTGAATTTAAGTGCAAGGTTTAGACCTTTGATGCCAGCAAGATAAGCACCAATTATTTGCTCTCTTTGTTCGTTCATCAACTCCTTTCCACGCATTATAAAAAAAAGAAAAAATGGGATTGTTTTTTGTTTATTGTTACGTTTGTGTTATTATGTATGATGCCAATATAATTGGCTTTTTAAACTTTGGATCGGCATTTTGCATGACCAATTTCCGGTAATATACTGTAGGTAAGTAATCACCACATAATACATGTCTTACTCTTCAAAAAGATGGTATTTATTCACAAGAAATTACTAATGAATAAAAAACGCTTGTTTACTTCTTTGGAAACTTGGTTTATCTGATTTCCTACATATAATAATTAATAGCAAATTACCGAGCGCCTAAATAATTCTGCAATTGGTTTAATTTGTTGAAAACAGAATATCCGATCATCACATATCTTTTCAGCGCCTAAAAATTTTACGAACGGAAGATTGATATATCTTTGCTTAAAACAATTTGATTAATGCTTTCTTTCATTAAAAGTAGACATAATATAAAAGCTTCTATTTAAAATACCTTGCGAATTATAAAGACCTAAATTTGTTATTTTTCACAGTGTTACTTATTTTATGCGAATAGAATATTTATTTTTAATTAAAATTTTATACTAAGTTTATATAAATTCCTTTAGGATTATACTGGTTTACAAGTATGTTATATGCACGGTGCATTGTAATCGATAATTACATGTATATTGTGAAGCTGTATAAGTATTTGATAAAAGCCATGAATTAAAATTCCCCGTAACGTTACATATTCTCATTTTAAGATATACCGAACTTTTTACGTTAAAATAGATAAAAATATAGACATTTTGGTTCAACAAATTTTAGACTAAAATGTATATTTGTTCATTGCTGAATTATGAATTGAAGCTCATATTAAATACACTACTCGATATAATAAATTTAATGCTTCTATTTATCTTTTCCTTATTAATGTATATAATTGAAATGTTTGGCATTCATATTTAGCATACAAACAATTAAGAATAATATTAGTTATTCTGTTTCGTTATAAATAATTTCACTTACCAATATATTTATACGTATATCTTATTTATTATCAATTGTTGACTATGAGCATTGAACAATGAAATCAATGAATACGTGTACATGTAATATGTAATATGCGAAATTCAGGTACAGGAAGATTTGTTGTTAATGACAGTGTGATGGATGTTGTCATTGATGTTAGTTCTGATGTATTATTGGAACGGGTTTCGAAAGATAAAAAAGGTAATTAAACATATGTATTATATGTACATGTACTGTCACAGATAGGTTGGAATTACGTGGATTTGGGGAAATTTGTCACCGTGACAGTAGGTGAGAGAGGGCGATTAGACTAATTTTACCTGTTGGTCTAAATCCTGTGCCGATATCTACGGATATCGTTCAATTTGAGCATTTCCAAAGGTGAGTAGGTTGGATAATTATGGGGAAGGGTAAAGGGAATTTTTGATTATTAATTATTAACTATTCTCATATGCTTTTTCTAGATAAAAGCCGTAAACTCGGATCAATCAAATCACTCAATCAATGATATGTTTCGCCTTTCTGGACTAAAGGACCTAACCCAATTTGTCATCTTTTCTGGTGGAAAGAACTTAACCAACACGTTAGAATTACAATTCTTATGTAGCAATTTTTACAAGTATTTCTCTTGGAGAAAAGGTTTTGTACGCAATTTTATTTAAAGGCCCGAGAGCCATTCATTTATACATTTTTTTATTTTTTTACTATATATGAAATACTATTCTAATTCTATGATTTAAGAAATGGCATTCAAAAGAGCCTAGTTATAGAAAGCATAAAAACTCCTTAAAGGATATTAATTTTAGAGATTCGATTAACATGATAGAACAAATGCATGCACTTACTTTGAAATATAAATTTTATATCAAACTGTGTAAAGTATATGCTTGTCGAGAGAAGTTGGTGGTTATACTGTAAAAAGAAAGTAACGTAAATACGTGTACAACCTCTCTATAGTGGCACTTTTATAACGTAATTCTCCTCATAATGACCAAATTTTCTAAAATGACTCATGTACTACTATAGGAAAATTGACTCTATATAATGACATTCACTTTATAAGGACAAAATTAACCTTGATATTTGATGTCGTTATAGAGGTATTTTAACTTGTATATACTTTTACATGTTAATCTATATAATAAGCGTGCGTGATATAATATAAAAAACCTTCCAAACGAATAAAGTAACTACACAATGATGAAATTTATAATTGCTTGTTATATGTATACAAAAAATATTAATAATAAAATATCGAAAAGATGTACTATTAAATGATGTAATCAAACATAACATAATCCATTGAATTTTCAAAGATGCATATTTGAAATATTGGTAAAGTTGAATGGTGCTTATTCACAACAAATTCTAATTGTGGTTATTAATAATGAATTTTGCTCATACCAATACATGTTCATGTAACATTGAGTTCAGTCAACTCTTGATTTACCGAATGATCGGTAATGATACTAATTCAGTTTCAATATGGTGTGAGGATCGCTAATTTGCGTTGACTGTAGTACAAGATTTCTACATGTGCCGGTACATGTACATGTATAAAGAGTCTGGGATGAGCATGTGATGATATAATATAATCTTTAAAAATCACGTGATATACATTATAACGAATATCATATGATCAATTTTATTATTTTGATAAATAATATTTTAAACTGTTTAACATTTTTTATCTTTAATATTTCATAATAATTAACATATATTTGTTCGAGCTATTTACAGTTATATATGCGAACAACCAAGCGTGCAAAGAACTTTTTCGGCACACTGGATGTCTCTTTGAATTTTTATATGTGAATTCGATTATAATTAATTTAAATTATTGATAATAACTTTGCGTATAAATTCAATATACATGTACTATTGAAAATTCTCATCCCGAGAGAAGTTTATTTGGTTTTACTATCGTTATTGAAGCAAAATAGTTACCCAAATATTGGATAGATTTCCTAAAATAATAAAAAAGGAGATTATCGTTATCGCAATTAGCCAAGTTCCATAATTCCATAAGTGAACGTACATGTATATGAGACAAAAGGAGCAATCAATTTGGATTTACCCATTTGATCATCATTCAAAATTGATTTAAAGCTGAGAAGAAAGGGATACTTGCAAGCTGCGCTGAAAAACGACATATATTTTTTCTTTCGCGTTTTTGAAGTTTATATCTTTTGCACAATTAAACAAAATTTTTAGGCACTTGTTGCATACGTATATTTGTAGTGGATAAAATGTATGCTAGGCTAAAGAATTATTGATTGCAATAATATTATCATCTTTTATAATTCATCAGAGCGAGTTTTGATTTCTTCTAAATTACGATAAAAATGTTTAATTCCTACGAGACCAGTCATTAATTAGCCTTGAGATTTAACAATAAACATAATAAAAATGAGATCTAGAAGAGTGCCATTCACCGAAGAAGGTACAATCTTCGACCAATATTCACTAGAGCTTGACGGTTATGTAAGTGAAAGAGTTATTTTAGTTCCCTGACGTTATGATTTCTCGCAATTATCAGAAACACCAAACAATTGCAATTAAAAGATGACAATCCAGTTATTCAGCATCAGAATTCGGCAATTCAATGAAGCGATAAATGCAGCTCTTCCATCAAAACTATTCAAATATATACCAATAATACAATTTATACTGTCAATAATGATTCTTATTTTGTTTTTGATTCTCTCAGAACAATTGCTAATTGAAATTGTTGTTGCAACTGTAATATCGCTTGTTGGGACTATTGTTTACATATTTCTTAACAGATGATATAATAGAAAGGTATTTATTTCAGTCAGTGTACATTCATTAATTTTAATATTACTGAATTCAAAGCACTTTTATTGGTATAGTTTCAAGAAGCAATAAATCATCGACTTGATGAATTCAATAGAATCGACAATCCGAAACAATTAAATTGGCGTGTAATAACAGATGGCTACAAATCATGGCAATTTTCTGGAAATCAAATGGTAAATTACATAATTCTTATTGAATATTTATATTGATTTTTTAATTATCGAGGATCTAACGCAACAATGTTTCAAAAAGGTATTGATTATTGAATTGGCGGGAAACCAGACTCATCTATCATAATTATCAAATCGTTAGAAGAAGCACATATAAATGACTATTGTAAAAAGCAGGATACTAAAGAAGATTATTTCAATAACGTTGATAATGCTCCGCCAGCATATAATTGAAAAATTAATATAGTATTCAATAGAAAACTAAGTTTATAATTTAATTTAATTTGTCGTTTATACTTAATTGACACAAGCTTTTTAATAAGCATTTTGAATCTTCTCATTTGTAATAAATTAAAGAACCTTGTTGATTAGTCATTACAAACAGCATAGATTTTCGAAATTTTTCCTAATGATAACGTTAAAAAATAAAATCAATACACTCTGCATAAATATAGAAACTAAACAAAATATCTTCCGTTCATAGCATAGATAGCGTTGATAAAGCCATCCGGTTCCTTGATGGTTGGTCTGTTTTCTGGAATAGCTTAGCGTTCATAACTTCTTTAAAGTAAAATAAATTTGTCTTTCTCTTTATTCAGACAGTACCCACTCTACTCAAAATCTTTGTTCGGTTTTGGGCATAGAACGAATCGGCTATCAGTTCTTCTATGCGTTCCGAAAGAGTTGAAACGCATTCTCATCCGAAAATAATTCGTATTTAGCCCATTCCACTCGTTTTTGTATGTGATCAGAGTAATGGGGTCACTTTTTAATCTAACATCAGCTAATACCTTCTAATTGTTCTAAAACATATTTCTATGCCTGTGTTTGACAACTTTGTTGCCAAAGTTCTTGTTGAAATAGAGGAATCCCTATGAATTCCCTAAGGCTTTTACCATAATTTCCTCAGCCGACCATTACGCTTTGTTCCCGAATTTTGAACTTTTTGGGGGTATCATATGTAGCGTAGAGGGACATGTTCATTCGTATGTATTTCTTTGACGTCTTGTTCCATAACGTAATGGGGTCTATCGTTGAGTTTCTTGTTTAGAAATTGTATTTCGAGAGTTGTTTTTCAAAAATGGAAAGCAAAAGATCTATATATATGTATTAAATTCGTGTTTTATTCCATTCAATTTTCTGTTTTTTGTCACACATTTAGGAACCAAATTTCAAATTTGGATTCTGAATTTCATTACATCCGATTAGAGTCAGGGTAAAGTATTGAATGGGGAGACAAGATTACATGTAAAATTGCTTTCCCAATATTTTTGATTAATAGTCCCAGACAGATTTACGCACTTTTATCTCTTTAAGTCTGATTTGTTTTGCATTCCTTGGTTATTCCCAAAATTTGCACACGCCTATTGATGATTTACGGATTGCTTGATCTCGGATACTTTGAAATAGTTTAATGTATGAATTTTTCGATACATTCAATAGTCATATAATGCATTGGTTTCGGAGGGTGTTTAATGTTGCATAGTATTATATTTAGAAAGGATAAGGAATCTAAGATGGAACTATTAGATTGTTGTTAGTCAAATTTTCGAGAACACAAACTCAAAAAATCATCATTAAGCAGTGTATGAATTCAAACTTGCTATCAAGCAAAAAAAGCTTTATTTTTATTGTTACCTAATGCTTACTTATGAACATGGTTTCTGATCAAAATTGTTCTAAAATAAGAGAACATTTTTTATAGCTAAAATGTTCTCTGAGAAAAGTAAGAACATTGAATATTATACAGTCATTAAGCGCATTTTTCAGTAAAAAAGTTTGACAAATATTATTTTCATAAAATCATGATTTTTTTGTTCTGAACGGGCAACACAGAAACTATCAACGTGTCGCCGTAAATGATTGACGCATATAATCAAACGATTTTATTGATTATTTTGAAGAACCAATTATTAATAGTTTGGCGATAATTGGTCCTTAGATATCGCTTGTAAGCGTATAAAACCAGTTTTTCAACTATATGCTTCGATTATGTATATCAGATAGCATTTGATTAAGAAATAGATTAATTATCTTTCTAACTTCTATATAAAACCAGGTATTGGTTGATACTAACTAGTAAGAAATATAAAAGATAGTATAAATTATGCGGAAAGACGGAAAATACTAATAAGTAATATAAAAGATAGTATTATAAAATTATGCCGAAAGAAATTTCAAATTCTGTTGAGAAATAAAGAATATCGATAAAGAAAAGAAAAAGATCGTACTGTGTACATAAATACATCGGAATCGAGATTCAACCACTGCGAGTAATGTAGAAGGGCGAAAGATTGCATGGATGCGTAAAAGGGAAAGATAAGGGATTAAGATATTGTCATGCCCTCATTATGTCCTCGTTGGTATATCGAAGTTTGACTCTCACAACGTTTCAAACCAAGCTTCGATATCATCTAGATCGTATTCCATGATGGGAAGTTTTAACGAAGGAGAATTAGGAGGAATTGTAGTAGAAGCAGGGTTGGGCTCTCCCACTTTAGAGGTTGATACAATGATATTATCCTTCCCAATATTCGTAGCCATCCTCTTTATTGTCCATTCCGATTCCTCTTCTTCATCTGAAGAAGAGTTTCTTTCTGTATCCTCTTCTTCATCTGAAGAAAAGTTTGTGTTAAAAACATTTGATGATCTCTTTCTTTTAATAATCGGTGTTTTTATTAGTGTAGGAGGTGCCAAAACGGTTGTTGCTTCTATGGCGACTAATTTTGTATCCATATTTTTCTTTCCAATAATATTTCTTTCATTCTCCTCCCGCTTGTCTGATGTTGAGTAATCTAATTTATTAGATTTTCTTGGTCTCTCAGCCTCGGCAATAATTGAATTGTCTTGATCTTTAGAAGTTTCAATTTTATCCTGAGACCTCTTTGTTTGTTGAACTTGTGCGGCTTCATCTTTCTTGCTGGGTAGTATAGGCGGAGCATTTGGAACCATGTCAGGAATTTTTGAAGAAGGTAAAGGTTGAAGAGATTTTTGTGATAGTAATCTCCTTCTTATGGCATACCGTTTCTTAGCAAATGTATCGTTTTTAGGAGGAGCGAGAACTCTATACATTTCTCTGTAAGTAGATTTTTGCCTTATATATTTAAAGTCAGGAGGATATTCCAACTTTCTAAATTTAATTTTGGTTCTGGACGATCTTCTTTACTTTCTTTAGATCGTAATCTTTTCCTCCTTGAATTTGCTATTGGTGATGGATCAATTTCTTTTCCTTTACCCTTCTCAATTTCCTTCGTATTAGTAATATTTGTTGCAGTAATAGTCGCTAACACTTGTGTTGAATTGTTATCCATCGGCGCTTGTGTTGAATTGCTACTATCCACTTCTTGAGGTAGTAAGCTTTTCGTCCTTGGATTCGATCCATCAATCATTACTTCAGCATATTTCGATGGTGATGGGTCAATCTCTTTTCCCTTACCCTTGTCTTTCTTTTTCTCTATTTCTATCTCAACCTCCATGCTAGTAATATTAGCTGCAGTATTGTTATCCGCTGGTACTTGTATTGAGCCGCTACTATCCACTTCTGTCTGCGTAGCGATTGTCTGTGTAGCGATTGAACGGTGCCTTGAGACACCTAGCATGCGACATAAACTAATAAGTTTCATCATTGCCCATTCCTTGATATCTTGGATTAAATGAGAGTGATGACGACGAGGTCTATCATTATTATTATTGTTGTTGTTGTTTTGATAAGGGGTTGCATCAATATGCTGACGAACGTGTCTAATGGGACCTATCTCACCGCTGCCGAAGTTATCATTTACAAATGGTTCATAGCTTTGGCTAACACCATTAAACATCGCTTCATGAAAAGCATCAGATGGCAGTGAACCAGTACTTTCAGGTTGAATTGAAATCCCTTGACTGCTGGTTCCTAGTACAATATCCATGTCATGGGAAATAGATTCTTTATGTAAAGACATTTTTGGCACCTTTTATTCTTATTGTCGCCGCTGCTATATTGTTTTTATGTGCGAAATTTAACCGCTTTTGTTTTTAATAGTCGATAATAATAATCTCCTTGTATTTTAGATAAGTGACGGGTGGGCTAGATAGAAAATATATGGCTCGGAGCAAATGTAGAATTAAAAGATTTTGATTTGATTTATCGTTATGCTTTTCATCTCTATATACTGTATATGTTTTTTTTTATTAATTGTGTGCAACCCATGCACACGAAAAAATGTAAATCACGATAGCTTTATGATTTTGATTACATGTACCATGCATTAAGCCAGCCCCCAGACAGCCAAGTTAACTTCACGAATATCGATAAAAATATGTTGATTTACAAACACATATATCATATATCATTAGTTATTTTTAAACGATGATAATGATGATAGTGATGATGATACAGTTTTAACACACTCCGAAAAATGTAATATCGACACATGTTATTGGAAGATACGTGAGAAACCGATGTATTTTTATATAATTGGACAAGCATATGTGCTCGCAATATCAAATATACACACGATAATTGAAATCACGATGACTTTATGATTCTGATTACATGTACCATGCATTAAGCCAGCCCCCAGACAGCCAAGTTAACTTCACGAATATCGATAAAAATATGTTGA